GCCCGTCTATATTTGCTGCCATAAATAAGCATACTGACACAGTTTTAGGTGGCCCTCTGGGCAGCAGCCAGCCCTTAAGGCCAGCTTGGCTGTGCTGATTATTCTTAGATGGTGGTGTATAGAGAGAGTAGGGTGACAATGGCTATAAACTGATCTGCTTATTGCACTTTCCTCTAAAAAGGGTTCAAGGTGTAAGTGTGTGGACGGTGAGGCACTCTAATCACAGCCAGTGAATTTACAACCCCAGCAAGAGATGGGACCAGGTGCAAAGCTACCTATAGGTCCGTGCGGGGGTTGTGGGTTCTGGCTGTATTTGGTCTCAGAGCCTGTGACGGACACTGACACCTGTGGGTTTACTGATCTAACACCTCATTTTGAATGCCCTTTGAAAACAGGTCGCATCAGGGAAAGTATTGTGTAAAACAGTGGGTGTCACTGCAAAACCTTAATGTTTTATCATTTCAAGCATAACAGGACATATGAAAACAAAATCATTCACGTGCATGTGGGCATTTACACTCACAGTTTACATTCTGCATGTTATACTTAGAATTTAGATGAAGTACTGCCACCTGCTGGTGATTTGAAAGCAATGCAAGGTTGCCTCTGTGATGAAAACCTCAGATGAAAAGCTCAGCACTTTCTACTTGGGGCATGCCTGGACAACACATCAGCTCAAATCACTGAACCACTAAATGTTTCATTAAGTGTCTCTATTAAGAGATATTAAAACTCAATCAATCTAATCTGCAGTCACTAAAACCTTGAATATACTGTCTCCAATATGACTATGATGTGCACATAATAGCAGTAACTAAAGCAAATTTCTGGTTCCTTTGCAGTGATTCTCATTCGATTGGTTGGTTGTGATTCAGTGTCTAGCTCAACCCAGCCGCCACTTTATTAGGTACACCTTGCTTGTACTGGGTTGGCCCCCTTTTGCCCCTGAAGAACTGCCTTAATTCCTAATGATGTAGGTCCAACAAGGTGATGGAAGCATTCTTTAGAGACTGTGGTCCACATTGACATGATAGCATCACACAGTTGGTGGAGGACTGACGGCTGCACATCCATGATGCTCCCGTTCCACCACATCCTAAAGGTGCTCTACTGGATTGAGATCTGGTGACAGCAGAGACCATTTGAGCACAGTGAACCACTGAACAAGTTTGAGATGATTTGAGCTTTGCCACATGGCGTGTTGTCCTGCTGGAGGTAGGTATTCGAAGATGGGTACACAGTGGTCATAAAGGGACCGACATGGTCAGCACACTGTGGCTCAGAGAGAGTGGGTCGTCCACCAATCAGAAGATCAGCAGTTCAATCCCCGGCTCCTCCAGTCTGCATGTCGAGGTATCCTTGAGCAAGATATTGAACCACAAATTGCTCCCAATGATGCTTCCATCGGGTGTGTGAGTGTATTTAAAACTGAGTAGCAGGTGGCACCATGTATGGTAGCCTCGACCACATGTGTGAATGGGTGAATGTGACTTGTAGCGTCAAAAGCGCTATGAGTAGTCGGATGACTAGAAAGGCGCTATACAAATGCAGGTCCGTTTATCATTTACCATCCACGAGTAGGCTGTGGCATTTGAACAATTCTCAGATGTTAGTATGAGGCCCAAAGTGTGCCAAGAAAATATCCCCCACACCATAACCACCAGTCAAAATTGTTAATACAAGGCAGGATGGATGGCTCATTGGATATTTATTAAGAGCATTCTCTGTAAACCCCAGAGTTGGTTGTGCATGAAAATCCCATAGACCTGTGACATCACCCATTGGTGAGCCTCACGTTTGGTATGTTGGCTATCACCATATTGGATTTTTGGAACCGGAAGTGACCCGAGGTGACTGTACATAAAATGAACCCTTGTACAGATGTAATGAACAGGGAAATGAGCTATAGAGACCAAAACTGTTGTTGTACTAGGCTGTTGACAGGTTTATTTCTGCTCTAAAGTTGGGCATTTTAACATGAGCATCTATGGGGATTGAATCAGTTTTGGAGTCAGCCTCAAGTGGCCATTATAGGAACTGCAGTTTTTGGCACTTCTTGTTGACTTCATTTCTCAGCCTCTGAGATAGTCTCGCGTGACCAGCCAATTCATCTTTCGTTTTGTAATAGAAATGGGCGGGGATATCCAGACCACGTGACGGTGTTGCCATAGGTGCGGCACATATGTTACATGTAACAGAGACGTTGCAGCTCTGCAATATAGCTAAATCAAATGAAATCATATCCATTTTAATCTCTTCTTGCGATGCACTGAACACTTCCTTTTCTGTTTTGTACTATGGACAACAATGCGGGGAAAAGCAGTTCCAGTGTAGGTGGGTGTAAGGCAAAGCTAATCAGCCGTTGGTCAAGGAAGTACGGAAGTACACAGATTTGGATCCAATCACATCACTGCCGCTGGGAGCCAGCGCTAGTTCTATTACAACTTTCCTGTGGGAATGTCCACAGACGACAGAATCAGCCACCGTGCTGACATCATCAGTGTCTGTGTAAGAGACTATCCCTGAGATTGCTGCTTTGAAAATCCTAGTAGATTAGCTGTTCTTGAAATACTCTAACGAGCCCATCTGGTACCAACAACAATGCCATGTTCATAGTCACTTGAATCACCTTTGTTCCCCATATTGATTGCCTGATGCCAGACAGAACTGTCAACTTGTTGCGCTCAGTCAACTCGAACTCAGTGGAGTGGGCAGACTGAAAGGCAACCATTTTGATGCCTGGTTTGAACTTCAGCAGATCACCTTTCCCATGTCTACTTGCCTAAATGCACTGAGCTGCTGCCACGTGATTGGCTGATTAGATGTTTGCATTGATGTATAACAGTAGTAACAACAGCACGTGATTTCCTTTGCATCAGTTCTCACTCCAGTGGTTGGTTAGAATTCAGTGTCTAGCTCAAAGAAACATTTGTTGGACAGACCAATATGGAGAAGTGAAACTAGTGTTAGTTCCCTTTTTTTAACCCAGCCCTGTACTGAAGAGCTGAGAACAATGCCTCGTCAGTCAAGATAACTGAGAGGCATCTCTTTGGAAATTCTTCTTGGATGCATCCTTCGGTTCATAACTTTCTGAGAAATACAGTTTCTGTGTGAGAAAATATTCTATGTGGTGTGATAAAAGCTTACATGGTGCAATTAGGGTTGAAGACCTATACAAAGGGAACCACTCTGGGCCTCATAATGTAGAGACACATTGAAACATGGGGAAACATAAAATGCAGAAGAGTCATCACTTACGTAACCTCCAGTAATGTTCCGTACTATATGGCCCTTAGTGAAAGGACATGAAGATATGAGAACATCTCAATAAAGGGATGACCTTTTTATTTCATTGTGATATTCTGTACAGTTCTACTGCTATATTTATACACACTTCTTCAAATTAAACAAAATAAATTGCGAAAAAAAGCATCAAGTCTCGGCATCCTTGACATATTATCATATGGATGAGGTGGACCATGAAATAAATAACAAGCACGCACACACACACACGCACGCACACCCACACAGACAGTTTGTTGGAAAGACAAATGTGTTGAGAGTCGGGGAAAGAAAGAGAAAAATACATGTACAACACCACCCAAGAAACGTAGATTTGCACACATGCTAAAGCACCCACACATCCACGCAGGCACCTGTGTGCTGAAACACACCTTACATACGTAGATCCACAGGGGCACATGAAACAAAAGGCACTGCCAGCAGGAACAGCTTGGGCTTTGGGTGGTGGCGTAAAAACAAAGAACAGGTTTGGGTTTACTGAGAAGCATGTGCTTATGGACGACGAGCCTCATTTATCAGTATTTATATTGTATCTAAAGGGTGAAAAATAAGCCTGTGTGCGCATGAGAAATGTTTACAGTAAATGCTATGGATAGATGCATTCATTTTATGTTACATGCATGTCAAATATGTTTTCCAAAACAACCTAATTTGCAGTTGTAATGTGTTATATTACACTCAATGCATGTTTTTATACTTGATAAGTGAGGCCCAATAAGGGAGCGCTGATCACACACAGACACTCATTATAAAACACAATTCACAATATCCTCCCTGCTCTATATGAGCGCACACACATACACCCACACACACACCCACACACACACACACACACACACCAACCAGTAGGAATGATACCAAAAGAATATTAATATTCATCGCAATAACAACAAAGTTAAACCTTGTCACTCTTTTCCAGTGTCTACATAATACATATGCATTGCAAACACGTCATTGGTACATCATAGCCATTATCATGAACTTTATATATTTTTCGTTTCTTTTTTTGGGGTGGAAGGTGGGGAGGTAAAAAGAAAAGAGAAGCAGAAATGCATGCCCAGCCGCAGAGCTGTGGGCCCTTCAGTGACCTGCATCTATATGTGCAAAAACAGAAGCTGGTTAATTAATTTCTTTTTTACATACACCACCTTTATAATTAGATAAACTTCCAAATGTCTCTCATCCCTTTAAAATCCTCTCAATAGATTTGTCCCTCTGAGCTTTGGTGTGAAAATCCCATCACATTCAAATGCAACCCATATAATAACAGTGTAAAATCACTTTTACAATAAAGTGTAAAATCTGTGAAGGTATGTGTTTTGCCTTGCTTGGCAGTTAGTGCAAGGTTGGTTGAATCTGGATTTAGGGAGGGAAAATGGAATAACAGTTAAAGGGTAACTTTGGTATTTTTCAACCTGGATCCTATTTTCCTGTGATTTTGTGTCTAAGTGACGAATGGAGACACAGTTCCTGAAACTGGTTTGGTATTGAGCGAAAGCGCTGCAGCCGACAGCTGCGACACAGGCTGCAATGTAACGTTAAAGGGCAATCGCGCGCTATCAATTATCTTCCACTTAAAGTGCTTGTTTTTGCCACTGACAGGCTCAAATAGTTTTTGAAGTGTCTGACAACATTATGTAAAAGGATTCCTACAGAGATAGATCTTTTTGTGAAAGAGTAAGATCCTTTTTGTTTAGCCAGAAACAGCCCCAAAATCGCCATGGTCGAACCCACCAGACTCCATTTAAATAAACAGTGATTTTATCATTATAAAACACTCTTCATTCAAAGTCGACAGACACAAAATAACACTCACAAAAGCTGCCTTGGTTCCTTCTTTCACTGTTCCAGCAATCCACAACTCTAATTTGGTTGAAATGAACCCTCAGTTCACCCAGTTAGGTGTGAAAATATGCTGCCTCTATTCACTATTCACTGTTTATTTAAATGGAGTTTGGTGAGTTTGCTGACAGCAATTTCGGGTCTGTTTCTAGTAAAACAAAAAGATTCTTACTTTTTAACAAAAAGGTCTATCTTTGTAAGGATCCTTTTCATAATGTTTTCAAACACTTATAATAATCTGAGCCTGACAGTGAAAGAAACAAGCACTTTTAGTGGACGTTAACTGATGGCGCACAACTGCCCTTTGTAGTTACATTGCAGCCTGTTTCACAGCTGTGGGCTGCAGTGCTCTCATTTAATACTGGACCAATTTCGAAACTTGTCTCCATTAGACATAAAAAACATGGGAAAATAGGGTCCAGACTGAAAAATACCAAAGCTACCCTTTAATGTCATAAAAGAGGTTAGATTTGTGTGGTAACTGGGTCAGATTGAAGACCTTTCTGTCAGCGAAGCACCTGAAAGCGTCTTCTAACATGTTGTTAAACTAGGAAATTGAAATAATAGAAACAAATAAAAAAAGCTGAGATTTTGGACAAAGTGGGCTAAAACGGGGTGTTGAAGGGTGGATTTCGGTTTCTTTCCTCCTTTAGGTTTTCTCTTTGCTCGACGCATGCTCCCTGAGAAAAATCAGAGAATGGATCTCACTTTCTTATCTTTCCATGTCTTGTTCCAGCATCCACAGCCTTTTGCCTCAAGCCTTGACCCCAAACACCTCCCTCACAAATCCACATGTTTATATTCGGGCACAAAAATAACACATCTGTTGATAACCCTATACATATATTCCAAGAAAAAAAGAACACTCAGTATGATTGTCCTTCCACCAAAGAGTAATCATGCCTTCTGTTTTACTTCTAACTCTACGTGTGCAGGAGGATGAGCTGAGAGAGACTCATGCATAAGTAACACTTGCAGTAGCAGCAGCAGCAGCAGTAGCAGAGGAAGGGAATTTTTTAAAAACACTAATGATTCATATCAGTCCCAAACGAGATCTCAAGTCGGACTTTCAGATCTTGCGTCGCTGTGATCTTTCTGTGTGTGTCCTTGGCAATGAAAGCGCTGCTTTTCAAATCAGCTAGCAGACCACACACCCTGTAGCCTTTCACGTCGCTTTCAACCCCTGATTCTCTCCTCGGGGAGTGGATGTGTGGATGGTAGGGGGGCTTGTATGCGTCCTGAGAAAGGGTATGCATCTGTGTGTAAATGTACTGTATGTTTGGGTGTATGTGTGGAGGGTGGAGACAAGTTCAGCTCCGGCTCCAGTCTCTGAATAGATCACGGGTGTTGAGGGGGATGGGGTCAACGTTCAAAGGGTCAGTCTCTCCCTGGGTTGAGGTTATAAGGTAACAGGTGAACGGGTCAGGGGTCATGTTGTTGGAGGGCCTGTTGTAGTTTCTTTCGGTACATGGTGTATTTTTGTTCCACTGCCCGCACACGCTCCGCCTCCTCTTTCTCCAGGATTACCAGGAAGTTTTGTAGCTCAGGGACAGAGAATGCATGCCACTGTGAATGAGAGAAGCTGATTATAATACCACTGCAGAAAATTTGTTTTTACTACTAGCCGTCTATGAATGTGTATCAAAGAGGAATGTTACCTCAGCAGCCTTTATAAATTCCCTTTATTGCCAACTAAAGTGTGTTTGTGTGTGTTTTCTCACCTCCACCTCTCCAGTCTCATTTTCCTTGAGGACAAAGCTGAGCTGCTCTGGGTCAGGCCCTGCTATCAACCTCAGGAGAAGTGGACGCTCACATAGAGGAAGCTTCTGGAACAGATCTGGAGGAGGAAAGCACAAAGAAAAACATCATTCAGTGCTGTCTACTCCACGTTTTCTGTAAATGAGCTTTCAACCAGGTGTCTTGTCCTCACCCTGTCCGTCGCGGTGCGTCTGCCTGTACAATGCAAATTTGCGGGGATTGTCCAACACCATGAACTTCTTCAGCAAGCCCTGGATGACCTCTCTGGTGGTGGTCAGAGAGCTGATGTGGATCTGCTTCACACAGTCACATGGTAGGTAGAAGGATGTTCTCTTTTCGCTCTGCGCACAGTCCGTCCCTTCAGTGTGGCCTCCTGCCTGCTTGGACGCTCCTTCTGAGCCTGCCGCCTCCACAGCGGGGACTGTGACTGGTCGACTGAGCCTCAGGTGGACCTTAATGAAACCTGTGTAGGATCCATCTGAAGCCTGGAACGCACAGAGATTAAGGGAGACAGTAAGAGAGTGAAGGCATGTTTCAGTGCTGACATGTGTGCTATAACAGGACTGGAAGGAAGTACTGTATGTTGGATGCTGTATGTATGTACTGTACGCAGGTAACAGTAACATTAGCCATGATAGCTAGAAAAAAAGCCTACATTGCATGACGCCGAAGCTGTTACTTTCAGTTTTCAGGTGATTTGCCAAGCTCAGTGTAGATTTGGGACATGCCAGTTTCCTTAGTCATATCTGACACTCATCATTTTGGTGGTCATCTTGGTTGATTTTGATTCTATTCCAGATGCTTGACCTTTTGGACATCTTGAGAGCCTATCGCATATTTTCGATGAGAGTGAGTTGGAGTCACAAAACTATCACTAAGGTTACATTTCCTTGTCTGACAACAGTGCATTCAAATACTGATTTAGACAGTGATTACAATGGCAACGATCAAAGCTTGGAGGCTTGTTTCTATCTGAATGAAAGCGAGGAAGTTATAAAAACTGGTTTCATTGTTAGTTTGACCTTAAACAGTATAGTACATTGTGCAGCGACAACAAGAAAAACTCACCAGTTTCATGCCATTTTCAGAGACTTGAATGTTGTACTCTTCTATCCTTGTCCGCACCTCTTCTTCCGACAGGTCCTTTGTTCCTTTCTCCTCTTCCTCCTTTGTTTCTTTCTGCTGTAAATCAAAGACAGAGAGGTTGTCAGAATCAAAATATCTGGTAGTAGCAGTGTTGTGTTTTAACCAGCAGATGGTGCTGCTTCCTCCACAATTTCTGTTGAAAAAAATCTTGCTTTGCTCAAGTTTATGAATAGATGTCTAAATACACCAGAATCAAGAGAAACCCTTCTACCCTGCAAACCTTTAAAAAACACAAGTGGACTGAGTGACTTGTGGGCATATCAGGTGTCATATTTGGTTTGAAACAAGATTATCAAGGCTGATTCCTGCCCTACTTGTGACAACACCCTGCCACCCTCTCCTATCCTCCATCTTTGTCAACCTCAGGAGGCAAAGCTGCATCTCTGACTGACGGTGATGGAGGGATTCTTATCGCCACTACACCCTCTCTTCTTCCACAGCGGGGTTACTCCGCGGCTATACATAGGGACAGGAAATGTTGTGAATGAAGCACATCATGCATTCAGCATCACAGCACGAGGATATTGACAGGGCTGCCTCCCTCTCACTCTTACTCATTTGTCTCTGTGACTAAACAGATGAGAAAGAGGGGGAGAGAGAGAGAGGGAGGGAGGGAAGGAGCAATGAAAGGAAAAAGGAGGTGATGAGGAGGGAGGCAGGGAAAAAGGCGAGTAAGGGGTGAGGAATGATGAAAGAGCGGCTGCTGAGCCAGCCTTAGCAACACAGAGTTTGACTGGGTTATTTATAGTACAGTGGGATGCATCCTCTCTATCTCACAATAGCATTTTTTTTTCTTCCCTTCTCCTGTTCGTTTGCATTTTCTGGGGCAGAGGAAGAGAGAGACAATGTGTGTGTGAGAGAGAGAGAGCGAATGCAGGGCAGGAATCGTTTCTGTAGGGGAGTCCTCGGGTTGTGCGATGAAGTCACCATTTCATTCAACACAGATGCAGTGTGCATGAGCATGAGTGTGTCTCTGTGTATGCACACAAATAGATTGAAGGTACTAAACAACACACATACATCACAAGTGTAGCTTAGCTCATCCTGGCTGACATTCAGCAAAAGGAGGTGACAACACTGTAGCATTTAGAGTTTCAAGGCTGTTTGAAGATAGATGCCAGGACAGAACTCTGTGTGTGTGTGTGTGCGTGCGTGCGTGCGCTGTTTTATGTGTCCATGTGTGAACAGGAACAGTGAAAAACAGGGGCTTCTGATTTTGCCTACCACATAGCTCATTCTTTTTGTTGCTACTTTTATCTCCTCCACACTTATCATCAGCCGCTCCTCTGTGCAATTATGGACCCACTATTATGGTATTTGTCCATGCTGTGGTGAACGCAGCTATTATTATCACAGCATGTAACAATCTGAACGATTGAGATCCCTTTTAATTAGGACATAAAACACAGTTTGAATATTTAAAGTTACAGCCCTGAGGCATCATTCCAGGAAAATATTGTAACTGCTTGCCCTGTCTTAAAGGTCCAGTGTACAAGATTTAGTGGCATCTAGAGGTGAGGACTGCAGATTGCAAGCATATGGAACTTGTCCTGGTTAGAATTCCTCAAGTCTTCATTGTTCAGGAGGTTTTCGCCGTGAGCCAAAATATCCGCAGGGTTCTCTTTCTCTCCAAAACAAATGGACCAGGTGATTTGAACTGGTTAAAACACTGAATAAAGCAGGTTCATGTTACAAATCAGTGTTTCTCCAATGCTGTTTTGCATGTCGGAAATGAGCACCGACTAATGTGTGCTCACCTTCTTTATCTGACAACTTGAGAGTCAGACATTCAGGAGGTTTTTGTTGGGAGCCGAATTATCTGTGGAGCTCTCTTCCTCTCCACAATAAAAAAGGACCTGATGCTTTACGCTGATAAAAACACTGATTGTAGCAGTGCTAGGGTGGCCAGTGCGAAAACATGGATCCAATCTTGAGTCAGTGTTTGGTTTATTCATTCTGGGCCACTGTAGAAACATGGCAATGCCACACGGTGGATGAGGATCTGCTCCCTATGTAGATATAAACAGCTCCTTCTAAGGTAACGATAATGCAACGAAATCAACAAAGAACATATACTTTTTATATTATATTCAATTTCTGCCAATATGTCACCCTATAACCTTCACACTGGACCTTTAACTTAAGTTTAAAAGACATGGAAAATCCTATCTTCCTATTACAGAAGCAATTCCTAAACTTGTGGCTGTTTTCTGTCCTGTCTCAGACGTCTTGTCTTATCTTTATACCTTAAGGAAATCTGAACTATAACTGTAAATCTGATTAACCCTCCAATTGGCACTTGTCCTTTAATGCGTGTATCTGTGATGAGAATGTGTCAGTAGGCCATTCGAGCTGGACAAGACATAATATGAACATAATATAATAATCCTCAATCTCAGTCAGGGAAAATGTAGTGAATTTGTCATCTGTACGACCACTGGCTGAACCCCATGCTTCCTTGTAGGAATCTCCAGAGCTGGACGTAGCATGTTGATCATATTCAAAATTAATCGTCTTGGCAGTTGATATATGCCCATGGATACATGGTCCAAGAAATTTAAAGTGACATCATACAGTTTGAGTAGCCTTCTTTAATCCTTACATTTGTTCATGTCGTTCCCCATTTTCATTACCATTACCACACAGGCCTCACAATCATGCTGCTGCCATTTATGGCAGTAATTCTGAATTAAGGACAGGGTCTGTGCCATCCTAACTTCACTTGAGTAATCCCTAAAATAGATAGCTGAATTCCTATCCTAAGATAAGATCAGATTTTTTCAAAATGCAGTTAGGAAACATGTTTCTGTGATAACAAAAATCCTAAATGTCATACTAAACGGAGATAAGATAGGATTACAGAGTTTCTGTAATAAGACCCCTGGTTCTGTGTCTCCACAGACTCATGAATACATAATAATGTAAAAACCCATACAGTTTTATAAAACTCTGGTGGTTAAACATTAAGCATGTACGGCAAAATCAAGGATTAAGAAAAGACTCTGAGGGATACAGAGAGTTGACTTGTATCCAAGATTCCTCCCAAGTCTACGGCAACAAAGTGAAAAGAACCTCGCAGGAATTCCTGTGTTTGTATGCATGTTTCTAAATGTATCAGAGGCAGTGCCCTGCCCTCCCTTTCTGCATACCAGTGAGAGTGGTCAGGGGACAATAGAGCGGGACAATAGAGCAGTTTCCGCCCCTGAGAGTTCCACAAAGTCCTGGGACACTGCCTTGCTTGGACCAGGTCACAAGGGAGCAAATAGCCAGCAAGGCACAGAAACAGAGACAGATGTGAAAACTGAAGGGTTTGCGCAGTCTGCGCTGTGATGAGGGGCTGACACCTTGGTCAACTTGATGAAAAATATGACACAAAAATCATCTACATTCCCCACTGCATCTTTGGTTTCAGAGCTTTATTCTAACAGGTTCAAGGATCTTAATTTTAACTCAGCATACCCAGTTTTAGGCACGGAGCATCCAGACAAAAATGTACCTGATGACACAAGCTGAAGTACAAATGTGCTCTCTTCACTGAAAGAATACAACAACTAAGGTTCATCTTTACCTAGAAAACACAAGCCTCTGACTGATCAGTGTCCATCTGATAATATTACAGGTGACAGGTCCAGGTCAGCTGATCCAGCTTTATGGTGTGATTCAGACAGATGTAAAGCAGCTTAACGTGTGTAAGATATCTAGGACTGTTACATAAATGGGCGCACACACATATGTATACATGCCACACACAAACATACACACGCACACACACCTCTCAGGGTGACATGATGCTCTCACTCCGATGAGATCAGACAAGTGAGGTCATGTGGCTGCTTGAAATGTTGCAGTAAAAACTAACCTGACCACCTTTTTGTTAACTTGAACTGACTGTTGACTTCAGTCAAACCTGCGGGGTATGTGCGTGTGTGTGTGTGCACGTGCGATTGACATCATGATCTTCAGGTAACTCTAGTCTCCAGGATCTATTACAACTGGCCAAGATTGAGTAGACGGCCCATACTGTCAGAACTTAACTAGCAATACTCAAATAAATAAATAAGGAAGCAAAAAAATGAAGGCAAAATTCACACACACACACCTCCCTGTTCTTCTGTGTTTGTGAGGACCATCACTGACATAATGTATTCCCTAGTCCTTTATCCTAACCTTAACAATCACAGCTAAATGCTTAATCTCAACCCTTGCCCTAACCTCAACATAAATCCCTCAAACTGGCCTTTGAAGAAGTGAGGACTGGCCAAAATGTCCTCACTTTCCAATAATGTCCTCACTCTGTTGAGTTAAAATGTATTACCGTCCTCAATATGTTACAAATATGAGTGCACATACGCACACACACTGATAACAGTGTATGCGTTAGCACAACGTCTTTACTGGGTCAAGTGTCGAGGAGAAGAAGCTTGATGGAGAACACACGCTGATTCTATTTCACAGCTCAGAGATCGCTGTGTGACAGCACAGCCAGCAGTACACACACAAACGCACACATACACACAATTAGCATATCAGACTGTGTCAATACAAGATTACAAGTGAGGTATTTTGATGTTGTATCTGATCGCAGTGGTGGTAATGTAACTGCTTTATATAGTGTTATAATGTAAAGCTATGCATCATATTTAAAAGTTTATTATGTTTTTTATGTCTAGTTTTTTCTGCGAAATAAACTAGTGCAGTGGAGTGAAAATATCAAACATTTTCATCTGAATTAAGTGGAGAGAAAGTGTAGAAAAAAACTGAAATACCAGAACTTTATAAGCGTACGTGATACAGTACAGTTCTATATTAAGTGCCATATTCAGTCCACTTCCACACTTTGTTTCCACAGCGTTGCTTGATGTGTGCAGTATATGAGACACTGCAGAGGGTTATTATGTGAATGTGTATGTGAAAACGCTTTTTGTACAAAAGCGATGCAACTCATTCATTTTCACTGCATCAAAAAGCAGAGCAGGACAAACTGAGCATACCCCCTGCTCATCACAGTGGCACACACACACACACACACACACACACACACACACACACACACAAAACACATTAAAGCTGGCTGGCTAATCTGGAGCAAAAGGCTCAGCTCTGGAAATAATTCATAAAGAAAAGAGGATCTGGACTCTCCTTCTGCTGTTTTGATGAATGTAAGTATCTCCCTGTGTGTCTGTGGACATAAATGCACACATACATGGGAGCAGACTTTACACAGAGACACATTTTGAAATCTTTATACACAATATATATGACAATGTGTCTCACAGGATGCCACAATGATCTTTGCATTTCCTTTTCATATTCAAATACAGGAAAGGACAGGACACTTTAACTGCATGGCTACTTTTAATAATCTAAATTCAAGAGCCATGTTTGATAGCTGCCTGTACTGATATGCTAATATATCAAACCATTTTTCTTTGGCTGCGTAGTGCCAGATAAATCAGGCACCATCAGCTGGCAGCCCAGACAAGCTAACCCCAATACCCTTCTGTCTCAGCAGCACGGCGGCAACCCTAACTCCACACGCTGACAACACAGCTGGTCAATTATTCAGAGATTATACCTTCTCCAAGTCAGACACCAAAGGCACTGCCAGGACAAGGACAGCAAGAAGAGGGCTGAGCATGTTTTACATGGATGCAAATGACTGTGTGTTGTTTTGAGAATTTCATCTCCAGGCTTTTTGTGCAACCAGAAACAGGCCGAGTCCACACATACACAGATATGAAAACATAGCTTTGTCTATGTGTTTTGGCCTTTCATCCACATCAACCTGTGTTTATCTCACTGAAAATACACCTTTAATAAAACTCCACCAAGGGTGAAGATTTTCAGAAACTGTTTTCAGCGTTAACGTGTGGAGCTTTTTCACTTTAAATGTCAGAGTGTTTCCTCCTATGTGAGGTGACACAAATGAGGTGACATTTTGCACAATGGCGGATGTAACCACAGTAGTGCTGGCTCTAGCCTTGCTTACAGCACCTGCATGTTACATGTTTACACTTAAATGTACAGTTATGTTTCCACTATATTGAGAAACAGAGGCGTCAGAATGTGCTACAGAGGTCAATGCTCCAGGTGGCCATCTGGTAAGACTTTTTTTCAGGCTTCTGATTGGCCGGCATCTTCTTATCGTTCTTTGCATGGCTTTAGGGTTAAGGTTACATTGCTGTCTGTTGGTTTGGCATGCTCTTGACAGACCTTTAATTGTGTTTTGCATTTTCATTTGGACAGAGATAGTTTTATATCAGCAATTTTTTGAGAACAAATGAGTGAAAAACACAGTTTTCAAGAAATAACCATGTTTGTATGGACTAGGCCACACTTTCTATCTGCTTCACTCCCCTCTCCTTTCCCTACAGAAAATCATTCAATATCCTGCTGTGCATCTTGGGACAAGCCTTAACAACACACAAGTAGCACCTTACACCCCGCAGTGCCAGTAATACTGTACTGGAGTTTTAGTATCTGACACAATTATGTGTGAGGTAATTAAATGTACAGTGTGTGCCAACAAAACCACACGTTGCTATGGTAACTGGGAAAATGGTTTGCTACAGTCAAGTAGTTGCCTGACCCACACACACAAACACACACACACACACACTTGTTCTAGTGCAAAAGTATCAGCTTTGTTTCTACGGAAACCTCTCCCACGCACTGTAGAGAAGAAGCCTCTATGGAATCTGTAGGTTAACATCATTAACTCAGCACCTCTGTCGACTTTGCCAGCTTGAGATGAAACCACAAGACCTCACTCTCTGGACTATGGTGCTAAATCTATGCGAGCCACTCACATGATGAATGAGCTGCCAAAAGGCATCAAGGTTGGTGAACAAGGCTAACAGGCCGGCGGATCGATGTAACACAACAGCTGTATGGCAGACAGTAACCTCTTCCTACACTCTCACACACCTACAGGCCTGCTTAAGAATGCACAAACACCACCACTTCCTCTCCATACTTCTGCTTTTTGGTAACATGTTTTTGACATACAAGGCAGTTTGGTTCCTAGCCCAACTGAAACACCCACCATCTAACCCATCTGAGTTTGTCTTACTCTTACAGTTTCATCTGTCAGAGTGACGGTTACCCTGATTCTGTACCTTAGCTGCATGCTTGGGCTTGCGGAAGAACGAGGTCTTGGCTGTGAAGAAAGTGAAGTCTTCCTCATCCAGGCTGCAGTACCCGCTGCTCATGCTGTTACTGCTGGTCATGGAAGGGGTCAGCACCGTATTGACAGTCATGGAGAGGTCCAGAGTTGGCCCCCGGCACAGCACCAGAGCAGCACGTTGACAGCTTGAGGAAGTGCTGGTTTATCTCGAAAAAAATGCAGATGTGACACCCAGCCACGATCAGAGTCCCCACGCTTCTAACTGTCCTTTACTCATCACTCTGCTGATGCATCCAGAAGACGTTTATGTCCCGCCTGTGAGGGCGAGACAGGTGAACTCGGCTCAGATTCGGCGCTTGGCGTGCCACCAGAGAGGGGACCAGGAAATCTGAGATCGAGCTCAGACGTGTCACTTCCTCCTGACGTGCGTGTGTGTGCTCTGACGCCGGTGTCACAAACACACCATATAGTATATGCACCTGGTCATTAGCTACATACAATACTCATACACAGTATGCAACAGTCCCATAGACACACACACACACACAGGCACACGCTGGTGTCATGGAGTCAGTTTACAGGTTGGTTTCAAGTTAACCCTGCTCACCTGAGAGTCCCTGTCACACCCGCAAACCTACACTCATAAAGGCATGCATGCAATACCACATCCTGCTTTCCTGTGTCTGTGTCTCTGTCTGTGTCTCTGCGAAGAAACAAAGCTCGGTTTCAGTTCAAGTCCGGCATGTATGTGTGTGAGCATCCATCCGTTCCTGGAGTCCAAAGTAAACAGCAGCAGGAGATCTCTTGGCCGCAGCAACAAGACGCTCACAGACCCCGGCGCTGCCTCCTCTCTCCTCTTCTCCCTGTTGCTTTGGCAATACTAGCAGAGAGACGGATGCCTCCCACTCAGCCTCTCTCTCTTTCTTACACTCTCCCTTCCTCTCTTCTCCTTCCCCTCTTTCTCTTCTGTCTCTTTGCACCCGCTTTGCTCCCTCACTCTCTTGCAGCCTTGCTCAACCATCTGTGGTTGAGTGTGTTATCAGCCTGCGAGCACCCTCCCCCTTCTCCCTCCACTCTCCCTCCACTCTCTGTCTCTCTTCCTGCAAGCGACTGCACCCTGCAGAGCATGGCCACTTCCTCTTACACAGAGACAGAGAGAGGTATGGGTGAGTAGAAAGAGAAACGCTGATGACTGAGAGATATGAAGCCTCACAGCTCCTGTTTTACATATGTAAGAGCGGCAGTGACAGGAGACAGGAGAGAGACTGGGGAAGATGGCTGCTTTTCTAGTGAGAATCTGCTGCAGGGTGCAACGGCTTATGAGAAGCCATGGCAACCACTGTTAACATGTGGCTTTTTAGCACTGTGCCATAATTAGGGCTAATGTTTCGACACCCAAACCAATCAGGGGACCGAAATAAACCACACACGAGCTACACGAGGGAGAAGGCTCTCAGTGCTTAAGGTGAGATTAAGAAATAATGAATGATTGCCCTCTGAATGGAGATTACAGTGACCTCTAACCTTCCACTGACCCTGCAACCTGGCCCTTGACTGGCAGTGACCCCATTGTCAAAAAGCAGCTAATGCCGTTGTCACCGCTGAGATTGATGCAGCATCCGCGCGTCTGTCTGCACATGCTGTTTCTGTGTGTGCAGTATGATTTTAAAATCTACTCAGACGTGATTATAGGTAAACCTATATGGCACTGGAGGGCCGCAGCATGCAGGGGCAGTGTGTCACCCTTTCATCGGGTGTCTTTCTGTCAGGTTCGAGTCAGTCGAAGACGGATTACCTGCAGCTCTGCTCCTCGCTTCCATCAGTGTAATCACTAAGGGAGGAGGCAGCGTGCAGGGGCTGGGATGCTACACACACACACACGCATACACATGCATGCTGAACGACACTCTTGCTGGCTTCAGGTCGATGAAGCCTTGTGTGCTGCATGTGTGTGTGACTGCAGTAGTGTATGTGGGGTGAGAGGCAGATCAATTTCTGCTGATGCACACACAGTAAGGGGCGGTAAAGATAGAGGGGAGAGAAAACACAACCACACATACTCACTCGTACACACACACACACACACACACACACACACAGAGCTGCAGCAGTGGCTATAAAACAGAGCAAAAGGGGAGAAAGAGGACTGCAGGAAATGAACTGTCATATCTTCTCTCGTCTGCAGCATTCGTGTTCTCTCTGAACCAAACAAGAGAGTGGAGAGAGACAGGCCTTAGTCACAGAGTTCACATACCTCCAAGACAGACATCCTCAGCACTAGCTTAATTCTGACTGTTGGCTCATTATCTTTAACTACACAGTCATTACACTTAGAAAGAAGAAGTAGCAGTGGTTAAGCTAAAAATGACTCTACAAAAAAATGATATGCCGTAATTGTTTTGCAGCAGCCTGAACTGCATTTTGAGAAGCTGCTGCCAGTAAAAGAAGATTTGGTAAAATGTGCTCAACTCATCATCCTCTTCCTCGCTTGCTCCAATCCTCGCCATCTCCATCGTGTTTCAGGGTAGAATGATTGTGTGTATTCGCTCACTCCGCACCGGAGTACTACCTGGCACACTACCAGGGGTCCTAATTTTGCGTTATCTGTCCCCTAGGCAAAGAGTAGCTGCCAACATTCAGCTGGGGTTATCCAGCTTTTTCTCGTGCATGAATGTGCATGTCTATGTGTGTGTGTGTTTGGACCACATTGCGTGGGTGACTGAAGCTGGGATGCCAAGAGCAGCGTGTAGGCTCCTACTCTCTCAGGTTCCTGCACACACACACACATGTGCTTACACAAAGAGTGGGCGAAGCACTATTCTGAGGATGAATTTGACATAATTATTGCATCCTGTGGCTCGTACAGTATGAGAGTATGACAGCTGAAATGATAGATTTTCAGTTGAACTTCGAAGTATTGAAATAGTGGATTACTAAATATATTCCACTAGCACACACAACAAAGTGAGAATAGGTTGACGCAGCTATGCCAAAATGGAGGTCCCAGTGGAGAACAGTGATTAGCCGAGTAGTTTGCATTCATTTTAGAGAAGTGATTTCACAGTGTTACCTTTTCAGGTACCTAGTGGTCAGAGACTTTGTTAAAAAACACTGCCACATTACCTTCTGAAAAATCTACCAACTGGCTGCATGACTGTATCCATAAAGCCCCTACTGAGCACAACTCCCAGATTTATACTGTCGGTGGTTTCACCTTTCTTGGATCGTCCTAAATCAAAATGGAAGGATGACTTTGATGAAAGGACATCCACACTAAATCTGGAAATCATCCATACCCTCCATATGTGTCAGACATACATTGATCCAATTTAAAACATTTCACGGACTGTATTTGTCCAGGAGTAGGCTTGCCAAGCTCTACCCAGAATTACACCCGACCTGTCACTGTTGCAACCAAGACCCAGCAACTTTTAATCATTTATTTTAGGCCTGCCCTAATATGCAACAATTTTGGATTTTAAAAACACTCTCGTACATGTGTAACAAGGTCACAGACCCAGAGGCTACACTGGAAGTTTTTGGCATTGCTCAAGAAAATCTGAATCTGTCTCGAGCCCAGGCCTCCACTGCTGCTTTCTCACCACTTTTAGCAAGATGTCTCATTCTATATGATCTATTGAAAATCCAATACATAAACTAAAATAATCATAGAATCATAGAAGCAGAAGAAGTGATGACATCAGGATTGAATAAATCAAAGTTATACTAAAGGGTAGGAGAGATGGTGGTGACAGAGACTAAAACAGGAGGTGAGGGAGGCCATGAAAGCGACAGAGCAGGTGAAGGAGAGATGGAGGCACATCAGATATGATAGAGCATACTCTGTCCTGGGAACATTCTGTGACCAAAAAAAGCAAATGAGCGCATATATAAATTTATAAGTAGACAACTGAGGAGGAGGAGAAGGAGGAGGAGGAGGGATGGTATGTTGTGAAAGAGGAGGATGGTTATGTAAGAGTGTAGGCCTGGAGAGATACTGCAGAATGAACCCTGCCATTACCCAATCCTGACTCATGTACACCTCTGTAACCATACACACACATTAGGAGTTAAGCACGCTATATTTTAGATGAATGTGTTTGCCCTTCTGTCATGCCCCGAAAAATGCCACAAATAGTTCCTCACATCCGTTTCTTAATTCTTCTGGGGAATTGTTTTTTGTGTATTTGAAGTTCTCACCCTGTGCTGAGGGGCTGCGGAGGAGCAGCATCTCCTGGGAGATGGAGTTTCTTCGAGCTGTCTGTCCTTCTTGTTGCAGTCCAGACGGACCTTGCTCTGGCACTCCAGGTGACAGGTGTAGCTACAGTCTGATGGACACAAAAACACACCAATCAGAGACAAGGACACACAGTGGGACAGAACTAATCACTGTAAAGCAGTGAATAAAATGCATTCAAACACTGACCTTACACTGTAAACTATACTCCTCTGTGGTACATCATTCATCTCCTGTAAGTCTAACACTCCCCTTTACACAGGGAAGGTGCTCCATCTAGTGGCTAATACCAGATGCACACCTACAAGGTACCACACTGCAGAGGATTTATTAACAAAACATACCTGACCATACACTTGTGTGTTTGAAATAAAAGGTACTTATACAGACCTGCACACACAAGACTTAATGCTATAACATGTCAAATTAGCCCAGCAGTAACGTACAACAATAAATCTCATAACTTAACCCTCTCATTAAACATTTAACATGCACTTCTGTATATCTCATTTGTCCATCAGATGGCAGGAAATACTTTGCTAAGTGCAGCTGTCTTCTGCTGACGACATATTACACAATTCATGGTGGACATGCTGTACGAGGTCCATTACAAAAAGGGAAGGGAAACAAATACTGTAATACAGACATACTGTATCATAACAATGGATAGCCAGCCTCCTACATATTCAAAGCCAACACACTGTAACAGTATAGCAGCCTTTGTATGGTCAACTCCCATCTTACTGCCCAGTGGGAAGAGAATAGATTTAGGTACTTCCCCCAAAACTTTCCCAAAATAGTCCACTGTTCTTTAATTTTTAGTTGGTCGCACATATGACAGTCTCGGCTTGTTTGTGTCTCGCAGACTTTATTGTGGCCACAGGCTTTTCCTCATACATCTAACTTCTCCTCTGCTGGTGAGATAATCCATACTAAAGCAAAAAAGAGATTTTTAAAACCGCATGAGCGGAGAGAGGACTGCAGTTTGGGGGGAAACTGTGAGTCAGATCCTTTTTGTGGTCCTCGAGCAGGAACGCTTCTTAAATAAAACACTAAACAGTAGGCTACACGCCATCGGTCAGAGTGAATAGAAACATTAAACTATTTCCACAATGTTCCGTTTAGTAGCAAATGCTTCAATATTTGCTTCAAAACAACACGTGTTTTCTGGTACACCTCTTTGTTGCTGCAGCTGGCGCTGAATGAACGAGCCGAGCTCAGCCTGGTTGTTTTTTCTGTCTACTGATATTAGTGTCTCTGTCTGTATCCTGCTAAGATAGGGACACCGCTGTGTGTCTCACACTCAGCATCAGCTCTGTAACCATGGCAACAAGCCTTTTGATGACCACTGTAGAAAGAGAGGAGGTCACTGGTGGAAGGCTGCGTGTGGAGGTTTTTATGTATTTGGTATTAATTAGCTGTAAATGCTCCATGTATTTTGCACTGGCGTGGAAAATAGTAGGCCTGAGTATTAAAGCGTGAAGAGAGAGTGAAGGGAGACAGGATAGGGATTACTGACAGGAGAGACATGTCTAACAAAGAGGAAAGTTCAGATAGAGGATACTTTGCTCGTGACAGTTTAAAGGTCAGTGCATTAAGAGAGGGAGATGGACCTACGTGTGTGCGTGTGACAGAGACAGGTTGGCAGAGAGGGAGAGAATAAGAGGGAAGGGCTGCGATGCCTCGCTGACAGGAGCGATGTGATGAGGAAAGAGGAGAGTTCAGATAAGGGATCCTCTGCTCATGACAGTTTAGAGGTCACTGCAGAAAGAGAGGAAGAAAGGAAGCACACGGGAGAGGAAGAGAGAAACTCCTTTCCTGT